TTTTCTATGTAAATAAACCCCGTGAAGATCCGGGTCAGAATTGATCTTCAACAACCCATGCTTGTCGTAAGAGGCGACTGACGGGATCGGGTGGTCAGGCTCCTGACTTGGTTGACACATGTCATCGTATCCCAATTGCGCAGATCAATGTTTATGCTGTTGATCACTGGATTGTGTGGTCCAGACTCGATTATTTACAGACCGCTGTCATATAGCTGGAATATTGCTGAGTGCGGCGTAAATAGAGAATACTACACGAGGTCTCATTACATACGAATTATACGAAACGAGTGTCCTTCCTATGGTATCTGACCGAGCGAAAGCGAGGTCAGATAACATAGGAAGGTCACGAGTTTCGTATAATTCGTATGTAAATAGGAAGGACACTCGTTTCGTATAATTCGTATGTAATGAGACCGAGTGTGGTATTTTATTTATTACCCACGTATTACATGCATTAAACTGACAAAATAGCGTATTTTTGTTAATATTTTGGTTTCAAACCGAAACCGGTTTCATTAAGAGGTTGCGGAAGAGTTTTGTACTGTAGTACAATATTTGCATGACGTCACTGTAATGACGTCACTGCCTTGGTAACCGACGTCACGATGCATGTCAGTTGTCATCGCCTCGTACAGCCTCCTACAGTAAACTACTCCGTAGCACCCCGTTTCTTGGTTTGCAGTTGCTTCATTCGGCTAACATCACTGGTGGAAACATTGCGTTTATGTTTTTCGACGGATATAATGTCTCAGTTCGACTCACAATTAAACAGCGACACGGCAACGTTCGCAATGTTTACATTCCCACAATGCATTTAAGTTGTAGAATGAATGAATTCACGTGTTTGTCATGGATGAAAAAATAGTTACGTCAGAATATGACCTAATTGAGAGGTCATCGGTTATCCAATCAAATCGTTAGAATCTCAGGTCAAGTCGTTACGACACAGGTCAACGCGATACGACCCTCGTGTGACGTACGAGATTAGTATGCAACTACCAATACGTTGACCACGCGGGTAATAAGAGATTAGTATGCAACTACCCATACGTTGACCACGTGGGTAATAAAACAACAAACTAACCCTGTTCCTGTTTGTTACAGTCTCTAGTACTGTTACAGTGTTGTGGTCTCGCTTCTTACCGCGATTGGCAGTTCCCGTGAAGATCGTTTTGATGCTTTGCTTTGATTGCCTACTGACTTTGTGGGCATGTGAAGTTATGTGCATAAATTAAACAATCCCCTAATACACGTCACGCCACAGTATGTATTAAACTATACTTCGCAAGACAAAAATAAATACATAAAAGAAATAGCGAAAAAAAGAAACGCGAAAGTGGTTATATACTTTATGCATTATACTGACTGACTTTGGTTTTACGCCGCTTTTAGCAATATTCCAGCAACATCACGGCGGGGGACACCAGAAAAGGGCTTCACACATTGTACCCATGTGGGGATTCGAACCCGGGTTTTCGGCGTGACTAGCGAACGCTTTAACCACTAGGCTACCCTACCGCCCCTTATGCACTATGCAAATAGTCAACAGATCATACTACATTGTTCACACTTGGCACAGGTCATTGTTCATCCTGGCACACTAGAATTGATCGAATGTTAAGACGATGGTCAACTGTTCTTAATATCTTCTATGGCCCCGATGAGAGTCCAGAACTGCCAATTTGGACTGGAGGAATCTTCACCCACGCTTCCCGTACTTTATTCTACCTGCACAAATCACTGTCAATGCATGCACACGCGAGAAATGGGCATCGTCGCCCCATGGAACTAATCATGGACAATGTTCAACCACTCAGTGCTTGTGCCAGCTGTTGGAAGTTCTGGTCAGTGGGGCCAAACAACATAGTGTGAGGCTGTATCACACGTAACCTACCAGGCTAAAGAAAGTTATCCCCGATTTTACTTGATCAAAAAATTAGAAGCAAAGACGTATGTGAGATTTATGATAACAGGAGTCATCAATAGCGAGTGTGACCACGTTGAGCACCCATACACGCCAACTCACGTCACCTCATTGACGTCGTCAGTCGGCCGATGACGTCAGTAGGAATCCTGTTCCATAAGTCCAAGAGTCTGTTCAACTTCCTGTCGGTTCGCTGGAGGAGATACACGCTGTCTCAGCTGACGATCAAGATGATCCCAGAAATGTTCAGTGGGATTCATGTCTCTAGAACGTGCTGACCAAGGCAATACGTTGACGCTAACCTTGTGCAGGTATTCTCGAACAATTCGGGCGGTGCGAAGCCTTGCGTTGTCGTGCGGCAATATGACTCGTCTTGGCTGTTGTGGAATAAAGGGCACCACAAAAGGTCTCAACACTTCATCCCTGTATGGCTGGGCATTCAGATTTCTTCGGATGATAACCAGTCTTGTTGATCTGTGGCCACAAATGACGCCCCATACCATGACGCTTTCTCCATCGAAGGGATGAACTTCTTGAACGCAGTTTGGCGCCAGTCGCTCTCCTCTACGTCGAAAAAACTCGAACTCTGCCATCGTTTCTGAACCGACTTTCATCTGTAAAGAGCTCTCTCTCCCAGTCACGTCCCTGCCATCGACGTACAGTTCGTGCCCATTGCAGTCTGCGTGGACGGTGTAGACGGGTCAATGCCATTCCATGGAAGGGGCGGTAGGCTCGTATACCAGCCATACCAAGTCGTCGAAGGACTGTTCGACTGTTGATGGCGTATCCTAGTGCTGTCGCCGCAGTTGACGAATCTATTCCGGAAGTGGATCTGCCGGATGTAGCGGTCTTCGGCCGGCGTCGTGACTTGGTCTTCCCGATCTTGGCGATCTTGGGTCTGGCCTGTTTGCTGGTAGCGGTTTATCAGTTTGCTGGTGGCGGCCTGGCTGTAGTTGAAGCTTCTTGCCAGCTGACGTTGTGAAGCCCCTATATTGATCATACCGATTGCGCTGTCTCGTTGCACTTGCGTAAGTCTTGGCATATTCATGGTGACTTTTTGGTTACTGCATGCTTGCTCTGTCTGACATTGGTATTTATGACACAATCATGCAAGTGCATTTGGACCAATGTCCGACAACTACGTTTTTCACGTTTTGAAAAATGCATCAATACAGAGGACAACCGTTCACAATTTAATCAACGGCGTGCAATCACGGTGTCGTGCATGTATCACGCAACATGGCGTACACATGGTGATATTGATCTACACGCACGAAATGAATTCTATAGACATTTGTCGTTACACCTTTATTATCGTTACCATTATTTCCATATTTTTGTTGGTAGAATATAAATTATAGAAATGGATAACAATGAAGGGACGCAGAGGTAGTGGTGTTGTCTTGGATCAGGGACGCAGTGGTGTGAAGGTCAACTACCAAGGACTATTATATTGGCTATGAATGTTATGAGTAATGAATTTCTGGTAGACATTAACACAATTGACGGCTGCTACAAGCTGAGATTACAGTATGAGAGCGTGATGTAATTATACAGCAGAGACATGAACTAGTCCGGAAGCTATAATTTATCATCCCGCCATTCAGGCAGAGTGCCAATAAGTCACCCAGCCATGTATATATACACTCGCCAGAAGATAAAAGATGGTGTAAAGCCTGCACCTTACAGAGGTACTTTATGCCAGCTTTTATAGCCTCACCCTCAAGCTTACAAATAGAAAACCTTTGCGGTACAAAAATAATATACAGATACTAATATTCTAGAAAATGTTCATGGAAATACTGTCAAAACAACAATAGTAACAAAAACAACAAAAATCGAGCAAAAATATTTGCTGACCATTCTCCATGAACATCATATATAATTATTCTGCCCATCCGCTTTAGAAAGCAGACTTGAGTTGTGAAGCAGTATAAACAAATAATTAATTCAGGTTTCCTGTATATAGAAAAACATCCCAGGGCCTACAATGATACTGAATAGCAAAACACGTCAAAGGACACCTGAGATTGACTTCAGTCATATGTAAAGGAATTAGGGCTGTAACCAGGAGCGTAGCTACCATTTTAAAATAAAGCCCGGGCTTACACATGATTTTTGCACACGAAAAATTTCTTCTAATTCTTGCCAACAAATACCTGCAAAACTTTGAAGTTATTGAAATCATCAAACGCCATACAAAATGAACATTGGGCAAGCCCTCAATACTATCTAAATATAAAGCTTTGCAACCTATGGGCTTACACGAAAAGAAATGGCTTGCTACTCGCCTGGTAACGATGCATCGAACTATCGATGTATTGCAATTGCTGAGTCTCCGATAGCAATTAATTGATGGTAGAAACGAAAAAACTATCGATGCATCGATAGCATGTGTGACTATCGATAGTTTGGTAATTGACTTCCGCTGATAAAGGATGTTTGGGTGCAGACTTGCAGCTTTATTGAGTGTTTTAACTGTTTACTTGATCTGGGTTTCGAGTTTCTAGTCAGCTATTAATAGAGACTGAAACTACTTCAACTTGTTTTTATTTCATATAAACTATACATTCATTTGGGAAATGACTTTAAATGAAACAATTCAAGGAGAGAAAAAACTATTGCAATAGTATTGCAATAGTTGGTCGCAATAGGCTATAGCTATCGTAATAGTATGTTGCAATAGACTATCGCTATCGCAGTAGTTGCGTCCCCCTCAATAGTCACCCCTAAAAGGTATGTGTAGTTGCGTCCCCTCACTTGTTTAACTAACCTTTTGAGTACTGTAGTACATATCCCAGGAATCTTATACAGGTCTACCTGACACAAAGTCAGTTAATCTCATCAATGAATAATAAATTCTTCACTTTCAGCTATTATCGCATTTAGTCATCCCGCACACGTGCTCACCGCCGTCTTAAATATGTCCTGCTGTCACGTATCACGTGACCAGAAGGTGACAGCTGTTTCTAGTATACAGCAAGTTGACCTTCACAACGTCACACTGTGTTAGTCTGTTTACACTGACCCTTCTGTCGTAGTGTTTTAATTTCTACAAATTCAGGATCATATCATGATAATATCACGTCTGACAAAGGCTCTGCTTCGATACAGATCATCATGGCATATCAGGAGTAACGTGTGTCGACACTTGCAAACTGACGTCGATTGGAAGAATGGAGAATTTGTCAACTCGACTGTGAGTAGTGTTGTATCGAGATCATAGAGAATATAAAAACGACTTTTATTAAGTTTTATTAGCTTTACGCATGGGATGAGGAAATCTATGTTAATGTTATATTGACGTCCCATTCCTGTAAATAACGTGTCTTTGCTTGGACTCGCGGAACTTAGATATGCTTTATAATAACATTGAGAACAAATATTGCCCCAATTGGCTGAGCACGATACTGCAGTGTGTGATCCCGGCTCGATTATTTTCACATCCCCGTCAGCTGGAAACAAAACAATCAAACCAACGATTATTGAGATTTTTTTTGTAAACTTTTGTTTATCAAATTAGAAACAGTAAAATAAAATTATGATGTATGTTATTTGGGCAAACCCTTCTAGTATCTGTGTTGGTGGGCTGTATGTGCGCTATTGACTCATGGATTGTAGTCGATTGACTTTGACTTTGGTACAACTCTCCTCCAGAAACTACAGTGCGTGAGTGAGTTTAGTTTTACGCCGCTTTTAGCAATATAACGGCAGGGGACACCAGAAATGGGTTTAATAAATTGTGCCCATGTGGGGAATCGAACCCGGGTGCTCGGCGTGACGAGCGAACACTTTAACCACTAAGCTACCCCACCGCCCCGAGAAACTACAGACCTGTTCTAATCAGTCTGCGTATACTAGTTAGACCGGTGCCTGTCGTCAATTGAGGACGAACCAGACAAACCAGAGGTTGACATAATGAGCATGGCCTCATCGTTACGATGCGAACAGCACGCAATCAACCAAGTCGGCAAGCCTGACCATCCGAACCTTTTTGTTGTCTGTCATGACCAGCATGGGTTACAGGGGGCCGCCTTTAACCCTGAATCCGAAGGGGATTGGTCATTTTGCTCAAACTTTAAGCTGACGCGCTCAGAAACAACCGGCAAGCCTTCCAACACGGTTTTACCCCACGCTCCTTCATTCAATCACAGGCTTTTCACAAATCCATCACGCAAATATTATGCTAGATTTCGCGTTAGGAAACATTGATTATCAATACGCTCATAAAACCCAGCTGTGAGTTGGCTGCAGTGGGTACAGGAGATTCTGTACACAGTATCGTATATGTATACTGAATAAGCGCTATCGTTGAAAATATCGATTGTCATTGTCTGAGTACAGATCGGTCTCTTCAGATCATTATTTCTGCATGAATTTAAGCAGAACGAGCTTGAACTGATATTCAGTGTGAAAAAGACAAAATGCAATTAGATCACCACAGGGACCGATACACAATTGTGAACATTTTCGCAGGGCTCAACCGCACACACATTTCTGCATCTTAAATGAATGCAATCACAGAATGAAGACGAATATTAACGGAATTATTCGAACTGAATAATGTGCAGTGTGGCGTTAAACAACAAACAAGCAAAAACAAATAAACTATTATGTGATTCCATCTGAATCAGATCTTCTCTCTTATAGCCTCGGGGCGGTGGGGTAAACTAGTGTTTAAAGCGATCACTCGTCACGCCGAAGACCCGGGTTCAATTCCCACATGCACTCACTCACTCACTCACTCACTCACTCACTCACTCACTCACTCACTCACTCACTCACTCACTCACTCACTCACTCACTCACTCACTCACTCACTCACTCACTCTCTCCTTTCTCTGGACAGACCAACGTGCTCCTTATTGGGAGTCCTGGATCAGGGAAGACAACTGTGGCCCGGCTGCTCGGCGCCATGATGAACCGTCCAGTGGTGGACATTGACGATGACCACTTAGAACCCTACTGGAACATGACGGTGGCAGACAAGGTGAGTCTCAGGGTCCCGTTGATTTCACGAAGCGATCTAGGACGATCTAATACTTTAACATAGACTTACTATAGTTGCAGCCTTGAGACAGGTTTGGGGAAATAGGCCTGCGATCTCATTTCTACATCATGTGTACTTCACGACTTCTTATACACAAAGTTCACGCCGAAGACCCGGGTTCGAATCCCCACATAGGTACAATGTGTGAAGCCCATTTCTGGTGTCCCCCGCCGTGATGTTGCTTGAATATTGCTAAAAGCGGCGTAAAACCAAACTCAGTCAGTTATACACAAAGTTCCCCTTTCCACCGTGAATACAATGGGCTAAGGTGCACTGTTTTGTTTAATCCTGATTTTGAACTGAACACGTGTACAGCGCACGGAAGTCAAATGGGCCTTATAAGAGGCGACGAGGCGGGATCGTGGTCAGGCTCGATGACTGGTTCACACATGTCATCGTATCCCAATTGCGTAGATCGATGCTCATGATGTTGATCACTGGATTGTCTAGTCCAGACTCGATTATTTTCAGACCGCCGGCATATAGCTGGAATATTTCAGTGATCAATATCATGAGTATCGATCTACGCAATTGGGGTACGATGACATGTGTCAACCAAGTCAGCGAGCATGACCACCCGACCCCGTTAGTCGCCTCTTACGACAAGCCTGGGTTACTGAATACCAGTTTTAACCCGGATCTTCACGAGATTGTAGCGAAACTAGTTGGGACTCATTCTCTACATGTTTTAAGTCGAGACACGATCTCTATGTAATTTAGGAAATCATGACCTGTTTGTGTGATATAGACAACACGACTCGAGATAGCAGGCCACGTAGGCTGAATGAGCTATACCAAATTGGCCACGACTGCCCCTTACCTTCCACTTTAAAGGCACAGTGTCACACATTTTCGACAATATTGTGGCCTATATGATTTATATTGGGGCATATGCACTCAGTTTAGTAGCTTCCTATTGATGCAATAAAAGACTCATTATCCTTTAATTGCCGAAATCGATAATTGAAACTTCTAGCTTCCAAACAGAGGACACTTGCCATATATGGTATGTAACCAACTGCTCCGTACATCGAAAAATCTCGCACGCGGTGTTGTCGGTGTTTTGCCGAACTGGTTACAGGTTACACAACACCAAATGTTTTCCCATAGACTTCTATACTAACCTTTTATTTTTTTTAAATTATCCAGGCTATCAACAGCCATTCTAGGTATACATGGGTACAGTCAGGCCTTTAAACTACAATAAAACACAATTTCTGGTCAAATTGTCCGGCTCATTTTCCCAGCACAGGAAGCGGAACACATCAACCCCAGTTCCGCACCAAATGTCACCTACTGGAAAATATCTGTACACACAATAAGCATAAGTGATGGTGAAAAAAAAAATGACAGCACTAAATTCCTAAAATTGTGGTCAGTTTTAATTACTGGATGGATGTGCTTTTAAAAAGCATAAACATCTCACACTATTTCATCCAATCACAGCTGTCTCATGTCTCTGTCTCTTCAGTTGTTTACATACGGTGCTCGCTCAGGGAGCATGTGATTCTAATTTAGTGTAGTGGAACCTTCAATCACAAGTTGTGCGTTCGTAAAGAGCGCTCTAAGGGACATAACTCTATGGGGTTCGCTTGAAATAATGTTCGGCCGGTAGAGGGGGCGAGAGTCGATTTAATTCATTCAAACTTTTTAATTTAATATTGTAATCTAAATACGTTATTTGTTTTGGAATAAATGATATGGTAGCTTCCCCGACGGCTGATAGTATTATTGAGAGAAATGGCTTTGTGTGTGGTGTGAGATTGCGCCTTTAAATACTTAGAGACAGGTAATGCTAAGTAGGTCAGAGAATCACTGTGTTCCTAAACCACAGTTAAAGTTACGAGAAAAAATCCCAGGCAACGTTTTCAGTCCTAGCAGGTTCAATCAGTTTAACGATCTGGACCAGCTAAGAAACAGTAGGCATGCTTACAAATTAGATAGTCACGCGGAAATACTGCCTATGTAACTTTAAATGTTAACTCACTCACTCACTCACAAATTATAATCTCGTTCCTATAACGTTCTATGTGATATGATGACGTCATCACAATCCGGCGTCTTTTTATTGTTCATTTTTTATCTACTGCTATGGTTATAACCACAATTTAAAATATATCACAATTTTCCAAATGTGTTAGTGAGTTAATATTTGACTTCGCATCGATTGGCGATGTTGTAGCATGCGACGACAACCACGGCTGAATCTGCCCTTCTGAACGGCGTCTAGCCACCTTGTCACCAATACCTGTATGCATGTTCTATCACAGATAAGACTGTAATCCCGGCACGGATGCCCCAGTTGTCGCAGGTGGAATTCGCTTATCGTGCGTACGAATTAGACATTAGATTACATTCATGCTCAGGGAGTTCATCAAAATGTCAAAAGACTCTATGCAAACGTCCCTTCGGGATTTCATTTCACATAAAGCTGAATTCCCGTGATATGACTGAAATGATGCCCAGAGTAGTCAGTAAAACGCTGATAACTCATGTCGGCTACTGAGTTGAGTTGAGTGAGTGAGTTTAGTGTTTCGCCGCTGTTAGCAATATTCTAGCAATATCACGGCGGGGGCACCAGAAATAGGCTTCACAATTTGTACCCATGTGAGGAGTCGAATGTTTTAACCACTAGTCTACCCCAAGTTAGTCAAGTTCAACTTATCTCCGTTATATCATGGATGACCTGCTTGAGGGAGTCAGATGTGATGTGGATTTTGGGTGCGGGGTTCTGAACACTATTTCAGTTTAATCCCGGCATGCCTTCTTTATGTTAGGGGGAAGTCCAAAGAATTGCTGTTCTTATGTATCTAACACTAATATACCCCCATAAGAAGCTATGGGATTTGTCTATGCAACCGGTGCTTGTCACAGGAGGCGGCTAAAACTATCGGGTGTTCAAACTCGCTGACTTGGTTGGCGTTGTCATCGAATCCCAGTAGCGTCGTCCCCTGCCGTGATATTGCTGGAATATTGCTAAAAGCGGCGTAAAACTAAACTCACTCACTCACCCAGTAGCGTCAATTGATCCTCATGACTTCAAGCACTGGATCCAACCACGACTATTTACAGACCTCCGTCATATAGCTGGAACGTAGATGAATGCAGCGTCAAACAAACAAACAAACAAACAAATAGCACCATAAACTTTTAAAATTCAAACAGTATGAATGAAGTTTGTAAGTATGTTTTTTCAACTTGCATATCTAGCTGTCCAAGGTTGGAGGTGATAGGTTTCTGGAAGAAGAAGGTAAAGCGTTGTTGAAGTTCGACGGTAAGGGCCAGATCGTCTCCCTCACAGGTTCGAACCCCATGCATGCTGACGCCATGACACATATAGCCAAATCAGGGACAGTATTCTTCCTTGACTGCTCAAATAAGGAAATCATCAACAGGTTAAACATGATGAAGGTCAACAGAATCGTAGGTCAAGGTGACGGTGCTAGTATGGAGGAAATACTCAAATACCGACGTCAATTCTATGAAAAACATTATGACGTCAGGGTTGTTTGCGAGGAAGGAGAGACCCCAGAAAGCATTGCTAACAAAATAAAAACCAAGTATAATAGTTTTGTCTACGACAAAGGCTACGTGTCGACCAGAGGCTCCACCACCAAACCCCGTGTTCCGTTTTTCCACACGGTTCTCAAAGGGCTAGCGGAAGATGGCGGCCTCTACACAATGGCGGGAGACTTGCCAAGATTTACAAATGGCCAGCTTGACAGATTGGTGCATTGCGACTACAGAGAGAGGGCGCTAGGTATCCTTGAACAACTCATTCATCCTTTTGATCTCTCGCCAAGGTTACTACAGAATTTCGTAAATGATGCTTACCATTGCGAATCCTTTGCTTCCGAGGATATTTTCCCAGTGCGCCACCTAACGGGGAATCAGTACATTCTGGAACTGTTTCATGGGCCTACGGGATCTTTTAAAGATGGTGCTCTACAGCTCATGCCGATGTTCTTCACAGCAGCCATGGAGAGTGAAAGACGTTTCGGTGAACGCAACACGTGAGTACTCGACCTGTACCTCTGAGTTAGTGAGTGAGCTACAATATTTATCTTTGAGTTAGTGAGTGAGCTGCAATATTTATCTTTGAGTGAGTGAGTGAGTGAGCTACAATATTTATGTTTGAGTGAGTGAATGAGGAGTGAGTTATTACTTTATGTCACCTTGTGAGACTCTCAACCAAACTGTAGCTTTGTGTTAGTGAATGGGGTTTTATTTAACGTGACCTTGTAAGACTTTCAGCCAAACTGTAGCTTTGTGTTAGTGAATGGGTTTTTATTTAACGTGACCTTGTGAGACTTTCAGCTACACTGTAGCTTGTGTTAGTGAATGGGGTTTTATTTAACGTGATCTTGTGAGACTTTCCGCCAAACTGTAGCTTTGTGTTAGTGAATGGAGTTTTATTTAACGTGACCTTGTGAGACTTTCACCAAACTGTAGCTTTGTGTTAGTGAATGGGATTTTATTTAACGTGACCTTGTAAGACTTTCAGCCAAACTGTAGCTTTGTGTTAGTGAATGGAGTTTTATTTAACGTGACCTTGTAAGACTTTCAGCCAAACTGTAGCTTTGTGTTAGTGAATGGGGTTTTATTTAACGTGACCTTGTGAGACTTTCAGCCAAACTGTAGCTTTGTGTTAGTGAATGGGGTTTTATTTAACGTGACCTTGTAAGACTTTCAGCCAAACTGTAGCTTTGTGTTAGTGAATGGGGTTTTATTTAACGTGACCTTGTGAGACTTTCAGCCAAACTGTAGCTTTGTGTTAGTGAATAGGGTTTTATTTAACGTGACCTTGTGAGACTTTCAGCCAAACTGTAGCTTTGTGTTAGTGAATGGGGTTTTATTTAACGTGACCTTGTGAGACTTTCAGCGAAACTGTATCTTGTATTAGTGAATGGGGTTTTATTTAACGTGACCTTGCCACACTTTCAGCTACACTGTACCTTTAAGCTAAGGGGTTATTTAACGCCAGCGTGTCAAAATGTAGAAGCATACGTGAGCTAGAATATCAATGTTATACGGAAAGTACACAAATAATATCAGATAGAATACATCAATACCCTAAAATAGTAATAGCACATTGCTCAAAAGTTTGCTCTAAAGTACAACACAACAATGACAATCACAACAATCTCTTTGCATTAGAAAAACTGTTGTTTTACTTTTGTTAATGACCGAAATATATGAGAAAATATGACAGTATGGATCTTTGATTGATCAGTGATCGGATGTCTTTGTGTACATATGTAAACATTTGTCAAACAAAACTAAGACTATCGATTATCGTAACCATGTATATAAACACAATTAAATGGGTCGAGGTCTTGGGTTTGCTCGGTGCAGGTTACAGTTTCATGTCTATCGGGATATACAAAAGGAAGTTACCCTGCACCTTCCAAACACCTAGAATTCCGATGGGTTAGCCTAGATGTTAAAGCGTTCCCTCCTCAATCTGCGAGTGAGTGAGTTTTGCTGAACGCCGCATCTGAAAAGGAATTTCGTGTTGGAAACAGTTTTTGTAAGTGCAAAGAAGCTGTGACCCGAGTTTGAATCCCAACTCGGGTACTTTATATGATCCCATTACTGGTGTACCCAGAAATGATACGGCAAGTGTAAGACTAAAACCCGTAGAAAACCATACTCACCCACTTTACGTCATCTTGAAGGAAACGGGGCGGAGGGGTAGCCTAGCGGTTAAAGCGTTCGCCCGTCACGCAAGACCCTGGTTCGATTCACCAAATGACTACAATGTGTGAAGCCCATTTATGGTGTGCCCACCGTGATATTGCTAAAAGCGGCGTAAAACTAAAACTCATTTACTCACTCACTCACCTGAATGAGGTGAACTGAGGTGATATTCCACAATAACTAACAACATGCATGGCCGAATTTGTACTTGATTCTTTCAATATGCAGCAGATGCGGTTGAAATAATAGTACTCTTAGTTCGCATTTTCAAAACACAAAAGTTTTAAATATCGTGTTGTAAAAATTAACGAACGAAACCAATGATTGATTTCATGAGCAACGTTGGAGTTTTATGCCGCACTCAGCAATAACCCAGCTATATGGCGGCACGTGGCTTAAGATATAATATACAATAAACTACGGTTATAACGATCTCTAAAGTAGCACTAATTTTAGTGTACTGTAACGGTAATACGCGTTTCGTGAGTGAGTTTAGTTTTACTCCGCACTCAGCAATATTCCAGCTATATGGCAGCGGTCTGTAAATAATCAAGTCTGGACCAGACAATCCAGTGATCAACAGCATGAGCATCGATCTACGCAATTGGGATACGATGACATGTGTCAACCAAGGCAGCGAGCCTGATCAACCGATCCCGTTAGTCGTCTCTTACGACAAGCATGGGTTACTGAAGATCAATTCTAACCCGGATCTTCACGGGTCTATACGCGTTTCGACTATAAAATATACGTGTTCGTTATAAACGTACTTTTTTGTATTAGCTTCGTGAACACAAACCTCTCAACACATGTACACAGAATAATTAACGAGTGAAAAGCTCAGGCATTGTAATTATTGATGTCCGCTTGGTTACATAACAATCAGAAATGAAAATGTCAGGATATGATGACCTCAAAATTGCTTTTGATACTTTCCGTCAATGTTATATTAGAAAACAGTGCTTATAATCCATATCTCTAGCTATGTTTAACACATATTTGTTTCTATACACAATACAGTTTGTTGTTGGAGACCCATCCGTCAAGTCAGCGTGAAATGTAACATATGTTATAATTGGTATTATACTCTCTTAGTAAAGTACAGATTATAGTACTTTGTTGGGTTGAGTCTCATCTGGGATTCGAACCCACGCCCTCAGAGTCAGGCACCTACTCGCCAGCACACAAAGTCAGTCGTCTCACTCTAGGTGAAGATGAGAGACACATTGTGTAAAAATGGGTTTCAATGGGAGACACAAACAAAGGGTTTCAATGTTTGTATCTATCTTGATGTAAATGACCTTGACCTTTCGATACATAGCAGCATCCGCTACCTGCAAGTGGCATCTTGGTTACACGGTGTTACTTTTGATTTGTTCAGTCTTATTAAAATTATGATCTGTAGACATGTCCAGAAGAAGGTCGCCTCAGGTGAACTTTGCAATAAGTTACTCAGATTCAAGGCTTAAAATATGGGTACAGCGTACGAAGCATTCACCCAAACATATCTAATTTCCGTCTCTCGAAAACGAATATGAACGAGGAATAGTTATTGCAAAAAGAATTTTAATGTAACTTGTTTATTGGGTAAGCGTTTGTTTGATATCAGTACATGAATTTGTGTTACCTGAAATGTAATTCCTGACATTTTATACCATATTTAATGATATCTAAACTGCGAAATGATAATGTCAAATGTTTTGTAGATGTGTTCAAATAAAAAATATGACATCGATGAAACTACATTTTGGAATATCTATACATTTATTATAATAATAAATAATAAATCTATTTATTGAGGTAGTCAAAAACATTTTAGAAAGCACGAAAAGAATTATTGATATTTTTAAATCAAGATAAAGAGTAAATAGAACCTCAGACACACATTTTTATTGCAGTTACCTGATCGTGGTGGCAACCTCGGGGGACACAGGGGGTGCGGTGTTGGACGGATTCAGTAGACATGCTGGTGAGTACACTCTATAACGTACTAAAGTTCTTTATTAATGTACTGGATGTTCAATATATAGTGACACAATTACTAATATTTTATATCTTTAATGCGTTAAATAATTGAACGGTGTATCAGGGACTTTCAGATTTGCATTAGCCGGTGAACGTCAGATGACCATAGAGTTTGTAAGATGATTGGCCAAATCTCCCACTGTCCATCACATCAATTTGAATGAAACACCAAACTCATTAATGTCGCATGAATTCGCCTCTGTTCTCAAGACAATCCCTAATTCGACGAGACAGTTCTAATCAAACGTCCGATGTCAGCTTGGTTCAGCCTAGTGGTTCATCCCATCCCATCTCATTCTTCCTGCATGGCGGGTCATTGGGGTAGCCTAGTGGTTCATCCTGCATGACGGGTCATTCTTCCATTGCATGGCGGGTCATTGGGGTAGCCTAGTGGTTCATCCCATCTCATTCTTCCTGCATGGCGGGTCATTGGGGTAGCCTAGTGGTTCATCCCATCTCATTCTTCCTGCATGGCGGGTCATTGGGGTAGCCTAGTGGTTCATCCCATCTCATTCTTCCTGCATGGCGGGTCATTGGGGTAGCCTAGTGGTTCATCCCGTCTCATTCTTCCTGCATGGCGGGTCATTGGGGTAGCCTAGTGGTTCATCCCATCTCATTCTTCCTGCATGGCTGGGTCATTGAGTGGTTCATCCCAATTCATTCTTCCTGCATGGTGGGTCATTGGGGTAGCCTAGTGGTTCATCCCATCTCAGTGGTAGCCTAGCGGTTCCCATCTCATTCTTCCTGCATGGCGGGTCATTGGGGTAGCCTAGTGGTTCATCCCATCTCATTCTTCCTGCATGGCGGGTCATTGGGGTAGCCTAGTGGTTCATCCCATCTCATTCTTCCTGCATGGTGGGTCATTGAGGTAGCCTAGTGGTTCAACCCATCTCATTCTTCCTGCATGGCGGGTCATTGGGGTAGCCTAGTGGATAAGGCGTTGGCTCGTCGCGCCGAAGACCCGGATTCGAACCCCCACATGGGTACAGTGTGTGAAACCCATTTCTAGAGTCCCCCGCAGTGATATGGCTGGAATATTGCAGGTCAGCATATTCTTTGAGCCATGTTCGTTGGGCGACAAGTCTGGTCTGACTGTTGGCCATACTAAGGTGCTCCTATTAGAGGTACTCAGTACCAATATATACGGTGGTACAGCCCAAGTGACATGTCCGTGTATAACATGTAAAGGTATTCTGCCAGTCACAGCGATCCCACCCAACACCATTATTGAGCCACCCTAAGAAAGATCGTCCTGGCTAACATGCACGGCTTGAAAACGCTCTTTCCGCCCACGCCACACTCAGTTGCACCTGTCAAGTCAGGCATACACTGATCCAATAAAGGACAACAAAGTTTGCCTAATGCCAATGGCCCAACGTTGGGGTAACATGGGGACGTTGGGTTCCTTGTTCCATGCAGGTTCCATCTGTGTAACCGATTACGCATCGTCTGTCCACTACCTCTAACATCTGTAACTCTATGAAGCTCACCTCCAACATCATACAGCTGTAATACTGCTGAAACAAATATACTCTAACATCTCCAACATCCAGCTGTAATACATCATACACTCTGAAACAAATAGCTCTAACATCTGTAACTCATCATGCTGAAACAAATATCTCAGCTGTAACTCTATGAAGCTAATACAGCTGTAATACTGCTGAAACAAATATACTCTAACATCTGTAACTCTATGAAGCTCACCTCCAACATCATACAGCTGTAATACTGCTGAAACAAATATACTCTAACATCTGTAACTCTATGAAGCTCAGCTCCAACATCATACAGCTGTAATACACATCATACAGCTGTAACTGCTGAAACAAATATACTCTAACATCTGTAACTCTACGAAGCTCACCTCCAACATCATACAGCTGTAATACTGCTGAAACAAATATACTCTAACATCTGTAACTCTATGAAGCTCACCTCCAACATCATACAGCTGTAATACTGCTGAAACAAATATACTCTAACATCTGTAACTCTATGAAGCTCACCTCCAACATCATACAGCTGTAATACTGCTGAAACAAATATCTGCTCATTATATAGTCACAATTGTATAATCGGCTCTGCTTTTGGCAGAGATTTTCTTAAATATGAATGTGGAGAGGGTTTTGTCGCTTCTATTTGGTTGGCCAGATCGGTGTCTGATATCAACGTTATTTGTCTGTCCATATAGTTTCTTCTTTGAGTGGCATTTAGAAGTTGGTGTGATGAACAACGGGGAGAGTTCTATGGATAGAACGTTTTTCAACCAATCATATTGCAGCATACATTCGTTTCGCAATAAACGACAACGGTTGGTTGTTCGTGTTGTGCAGTTGTATGACAAACCGCAGCGACCTACACTTTTGGCCTGGTTGGTTCCCAAATCTGTGAACGTACTAAGTTTTATTAAAGAGAACCATTTTTGTTGTTCTTATGACAGGTGGGTCTGGAGTGGGCGTGGTTGTCATGTACCCTTCCCGTGGAATCAGCCAACTTCAGCAACACCAGATGACCACCATGGCGGGAGACAACCTCAGAGTGATAGGTACACGGTACATACGTTGGGATGAGAGTAATAGTTTAACTACGCACAGGCAATATTTCTGTCATATTGTGACTTGAACAGCAATCATGTGCAGTCATGATACCCATCTTTCAAAAAGGAGAGGGGCGGTGGGGTAGCCTAGTGGTTAAAGCGTTGGCTCGTCACGCCGAAGACCCGGGTTCGAATCCCCACATGGGTATAATGTGTGAAGCCCATTTCTGGTGTCCCCCGCCGTGATGTTGCTGGAATATTGCTAAAAGCGGCGTAAAACCAAACTCAGTCAGTCAGTCAAGAAGGAGAATCTTTTAATGTACATTGCCTTTCAGAAAGTGGATCTGTTTGGCGGCTTAAAAGTGTAAACACAAATGTATCAAGCAGAATCATGTCTTACGAGCTATTCTATATTTTCAAAAATGCATTAGATGTGTTCCAACATAAAATGTAGCTAGTAGCAGGTGACCGGACCAAAATTATAATGCGAATAATTTAGCATGCTACAATTCAGAGTGTAATAATGTTTTTCAATACATCACGTATTTTGCCGGTTCTTCATTTGTAGACCTTAGCTAAGAATACGTCATAATATAGGATAAGACAATCATCAGATTAATTTAGTAGTATGAGTTTAAGAGATGAAGATTCAATGGAAAGGGTCGAGAGATACAAAAATGTACATTATATTTGTTGTGGAGTACTGTTCGCAAAAACATCGCTTGGTATTCATCATAGTGCCATATGTCATTTATACCATGCGGGCATAAGCAGATGCGTTTAAGAACTTTGAAAGGAATCTAAAAATCCGTATTGTATTTCCAAAGGAGTTGACAGTGACTTCGACTTCTGCCAGACAACAGTTAAACAGATCTTTCAGGATGAAGAATTCGCAGATGCGCTGCAACGTGACCATTCTTGCAAACTGAGGTTGGTACTTTCTTTGTGGTGGCCTGCATGTTTAACAGTTATCAACAGAATCCAGAGTTCCCTTAATACAAATTAAACGATGAAATATGTTTCAGTGCCGCCAACAGTTTGAACTGGGGTCGCCTGCTTCCTCAAATCGTATATCACATCTCCGGTTACCTCGACCTTGTCAAAATGAGAGTAATCTCCCTTGGTGATGAAATCGATGTCTGTATCCCAACGGGGAACTTTGGGAATATTCTCGCAGCCTATTACGCCAAGGTAAGGCAGGGCTACATATTCACAGTTCAATGCAGTTGCAGTTTCACCTTTGGAGACGTAAATCTCAGTTTGCTGAAATTTCATTCCGAAAGGACAAAATGTGAGGAACTAAGATCTTACATTTTTTTCCTGTATAAATAGTCAATTCAGGACGTAATATGGTGTTGGTAAGTAATCCTTTAACGTTTGGATTTTTTCGCCTTGGGACAAACCCGCTATATCTAATCGAAATTAAATGAACGTTCTAATAGTTATAGAGAGTATACAGTTCCCTCAAGTTTAGGAATAGTCAAATGTTTTGTTTTGTTTGTGTAGCGCCACCCTCAGCAATATTCCAGCTATATGGTGGCGGCCTGTAAATAATACAGTCGGGACCAGACCATCCAGTGATCAACATCATGACATATTTCAGGAAATGGGAGTTCCAGTTCGACGCCTCATCTGCGCCTCCAACAGCAACAACGTCCTCACCGACTTCCTAAACACAGGCAACTACGATCTGACATCACGAACACTTCTCCGCACAGCATCCCCAGCTATCGACATTCTGAAGTCGTCTAACCTTGAGCGCCTCCTGTACCACGCACACGACAACGATGGCGCTGCTGTGAGCCAGCTCTATGCAGATCTTGACAGGCAGGGGAGGTTTTCAGTGTCAGACGAGGTAGGTAAACACTCCCTGGGAAGTAAAATAAGTAACCCGTGAAGATTTGTGTTAGAATTGGTCTCCACCAACCCATGCATGTCGTAAGAGGCGACTAACGGGATCGGGTGGTCGGGCTCGCTGACATGGTTGACACATGTAATTGTATCCCAGTTACGGAGATCGATGCTCTTGTTGTTGATCACTGGGTTGTTTGGTCCAATATATACAGACCGCCGTCATATAGCTGGTATATTGCAGAGTGCGGCGTTAAATAACAAACAAACAAAAGTAAAATGTGGAAGTCTGTCTGTTGAGGCATTAAGAGAAAGTCTAGTGGTTAGGACTGAAAACTCTAGTTTGATTCCACATATGGCAGGCCATCTTCTGATGTTCCTCGGAATGGTATTGTTGGAATGTTACTGAGAGCGGAAGAATATCTTACTCAGTAACTCTGTATCTGTCATACCAATATTCCGTATACGAAATAATATAAGGTACAGTTTGTCCTAAAATCCGACGGCGTGGACCGATATTAATTATTACACTCTGTGGTTACCCTGGTCAAAACTTAGTTCTTCTTCCTCTTCTTCTTCCAAGGTAAGAACCGGGTTCTTCATAGAACGTAATTGGTTCTGCGATTTAGTGTGCGCTTTGGATGACCCAACTGTCCATCGTAAGTTTAAAAACAAGTTAAGAAAGTCAGTCAATAGGCAGTTGGGTTAAAACTATGTACATGTATAGGTGTATTAGAGATCATGGCTGGACCAGCTCCTTGCTGGCACTCGTGAGGCCAGACTGGACCTTGGTGATGGTCTCTGCTTCTGTCAACTGTACTGGTTGTTCTTGGGAAGAATGAGTTGTGGTATACAGTGTGTTGATCTTTCTTGGTATAACCTGTTCACGCCTCTCGTCCTGGAGTCATTTCGTCTCAGGTACAGGCCTTTGTTGATACCGATTTGACCATGCTGGATCTTGTATAGCATACAGAGGCTGTATATATATTGTCGGTGCTGGAGGCTATCCCAGTGTATGTCCCTTAACATTTGGGTGACACAGCCAGGTGTCTTGCTGTGGTAGTCATTGAAGACATATCCTGCTGCCCTCTTCTGGACTGCTTCTAGTGAATTGATTTCATTGAGGCAGTAGGGATCCCATACAGTGGACGCATATTCCAGGGCTGGTCTGACAATGGTGGTGTAGGTTGCCGCTTTAACTGCCTTGTTGCAGTCTCGGAAGTTCCTGTGGAGGAAACCAATAGTCCTGTTTCCTTTGCTGATGGTCTTGGAGATGTGCTCTTACCATTTTAGGTCGTTTGATACTGTGACGCCCAAGTACTTGCTTGATGTGTCTGTGGCAAGTGTGACTCCATGTAGCTGGTAGTCGAAAGGTACAAGTCGTTTTCTGTTGTTTGGTCGTATGTGTAATACGGAGCACTAGGAGGCGTTGAAGCTCATCTGCCAGGCATTCTCTCATTCTTCCAGGGCTGATAGATCTTCTTGTAGTTTCCTGCTGTTCTTAGTGCTGTTGATTTGACTATCGTCGGCGAATAGGCGAGCGTCAGTGTGTTTTCATGATTCCGGGTGGTCGTTTATGAATGCGAGGAAAAGGAGAGGTCCCAGGACTGTCCCTTGAGGTACTCCAGATATCACCCGTGCCTGGTTGGATTTGGCACTTTCAAGGATGACCTTCTGCTTCCTCCCTCCGAGGAATGATTGGATCCGGGTGTTGGTTCTATCTCTCACCCGTAGTATCTTAGTTTGTATAGTAGTCTCTTGTGTGTTACTTTATTCGAACGCCTTCGCGAGCTCCACTAGGATAACATCTACTTGTTTTCCCTTTGCTAAGCTGCTTGTTATTCCTTGTGTGGTTTCAATTAGCTGAGTCTCACATGAGCGTTTGTTTCTGACGCCATGTTGATTGTCTTTTAGCATATTAAGACTGTCGATGTGTTTCATTATGCTGATTGATGTTAATGAGACTGGTGGGGCGGTGGGTAGCCTAGTGGTTAGTGGTTAAAGCGTTCGCTCGTCACGGGTACAATGTGTGAAGCCTATTTCCGGTGTCCCCCGCCGTGATATTACTGGATATTGCTAAAAAGCGGCGTAAAACTGAACTCACTCACTCACTCACCACTAATGAGACTGGCCTGTAATTTTCTGCTTTGTGCTTTTCACCTTTCTTGAATATGGGGGCTACCCAGACATCGCGCCAGTCTGGTGTAACTTCGCCTGTGTCAAGAGAGTACTGGCATATCGATGTTAAGATTGGGGCAGTAGCTGTTGCCTTCAGGATGAATGACGGGATAGAATCGGGGCCTGTCGCTTTGTGTGTGTTCAAACCAAGTAGCAGTTTTATCACTCCCGCTTCGTTCACTACAATGCCAGGCATTGATGTGTAGGTACTGGTGCCTTTATCCGGGATGTTACTTGTATCTTCTTCTGTGAAGACGGACTAGTTAGTGGAATGTTGCCTGCGGCGTTACACAACATTCTCTCATTTTTAAATTAGACATATGCTCATACATAATCGCTGATTAAAGAACTGAAATTTCGTGTTTAAAGATGAGTGAGTAAGTAAGTATGGCATTACATCGTTTTTAGCAATATTCCAGCAATATCACAGTGAGGGGCACTAGAAATGGACTATCACATTGTACCCATGTTTAAATATAATTTTCTATTTTCTTACCGCGTGACAACAAAAATGTTGTAACAACAATTGTAACATGGGCCAGTTATTACTGATGAATAAAATATGTCTGTCATGGGGCAATCAAACACGGGTCGTCGGCGTCGGACGAGCGAATACTCTAACCACATACTACTCCACCACAACTAGTTATAAGATAGTAATCGCGTAGGGAGGATAATTGTATGTTTTTGTTTGTTTGTTTGTTGTTCAACGCCGTACTCGGCAGTATTCCAACTATATGACAGCGGTAAATAGCTAGGGAGCATAATTGTTGTTTTAGTTATTCAGGACAGATATTAATTTTAACGTCTACAATTTACACTGTAATATTTTTAGTCATAACGTTTCTGGACAGAATGTCGATGGACTCTGTTTATTCTTTTTACATGTTAAAGCACAGGTTGTCATATGTTTCAGGTTCTTAGACGTATTCAGAGCTCCTTCGTTGCAGGTTCCTGTGATGAACAGACTTGCCAACAAACGGTACTAAAAACATACAAAGACACAGGTACGTTTTGAAATTGAGGGAGCCATGGTGAGTGAGTGAGTGAGTGAGTAAGTGCAACATTTGAATCACCGTTTATGATACTGAGGTGTACCCACCTGCGAGCTCTACTGTCGGACCAACTTTTATAACCTGGCTAATGCCGCTTCATCATAGGCTGTCCCGTCCACCGTGAGGCGGAGCGACTGTAGTGCACGTGCTGCACGAAATACATGTGCTTGAAATTGACACGACGCACGGTGAGCATTGGAAGCTTCATACAGCTTGTTCAGCTTGACCTGATCAAGTGAATACTAATGTATTGCGTGGCCGTGTCACAACTGGTTGAGTCTATTATTGTGAAGGGGTGCACCTTTGTAAGTTGATTGTCAACATGTCCGAACAGCCGAGACAAGGTCGCCGTTTGACATCACATGTGTCGAGAAATCGTCAGCAATGTCTTAACTTTCTTTTAAAAAGAAGCTACAGATGGTTTAATGTTTCCGATTCGTACTTATAGGCATCGAGCAGCAGCAGCGACGTTAGTAACATTCTCTGCTCCCCTACTTAATGAAGTTAACTCGACCTGCCGTTTGTGCCATTTGACCTCCCGGGTCATGCATATGTAGAGTTGCTCAGGCCAAGCTGAACAAGCTGTAGTTGAAACGACTGTCCGCTATCAATAAGAGTGACAAGGTGATTGGATGTGTGGGTGGGTGGTTGGTTGGTTGGTTGGTTGAGTGAGTTAGCCTTCAACGCTGTCCGAGTTTGGACCTTATACATCTAACATGCCCTAGCTGTCAAAACGTTAAACATTAATTATTCCCTGTGTTATTAAACGTAAAACAGGTTTGCCTGGTCTACCAAACACTACCTATATCTATTTCAGGGTATCTCCTCGACCCCCACACGGCAGTGGCCAAGTCGGTGGCAGATAGACTCGGGGACAGATCTTGTCCCGTGCTCATCTCGGGAACAGCCCACTATGCCAAGTTCGCTGACAGCGTTCTCCCTTTCATAGGACAGATGACGTCATCAGAGGATGCATCAGTGTCGGGACTTATTCGGAAGTCACTTGAGTTGAAACCAAGGCCTGCCATGCATCGGGACTTGGAAGACATGACAACAAAACCTGTTGTCCACAGGGAAACGTCTTCAGCTGATTATGAAAGTGTCAAAAGGCACATCAGGAATTTTATAGAACATTTAAAGAGCTAATCCATATTAGGACGTTGCCTACGCACCATGTGATGTTCAGCATTACCTTCTGTTTGAGGGGGTGGTGTTTAGCATTGTACCAGCTTGGCGGGGATCGATTGGGTAGCCTAGTGGTTAAAGCGTTCGCTTGTCACGCAGAAGACCCGGGTTCGATTCCCCATATGGGTACAATATGTGAAGCCCATTTATTGTGTCCCCTGCCGTGATATTGCTGGAATATTGCTAAAAGCGGCGTAAAACTATTCTCACTCACTGTTTGTTTGACCAACCGAATAGTTGTGTCGACTTTACGACAGGTATAGGTTGCGGGGGATCTAGTCTATGCTGGAAGCTCCAGGGAATATGGTTAATGAACGGGCAAGACGGATTCGGAATGACACTTCCGTAGTAAGTGAGGACATCGTGGGTAGTGTATCGGATGGACTGACCCACCATCGCGTGCTCACACGTGCTATACCGTTTGTATTTTGTGATATCCAAATATCGGTTTGGCACTTACCAGAATGGTTCAAATGACCACTAAGTATATGTGGATAATCACTTTAATGTTTGACTCTTGAATGCTCTGGTGTTATGCTATTGGTGCCACGGTCAATGGAAATTTGGTGCCGTTTGAAGTTTTATTGGTTATCGTGGGGAATGGGGAAGTCAGACTTTGGAACGTTCCCTGAGGGGACGATACGTACCCCTGTATGGGCAAAATAAAAATACTGATTGTGGACGACGAACGGATGTGGTAATCAGGTTTAATGAATGAGTGGGTTTGTTGTCGGGTGGATGAGTGAGGAGTGGGTGGGTCGTATCGGGTGGATCAGTGAGGGATGGGTCGGTTGCCGGGTGGGTGAGTGAGGGATGGGTAGGTTGTCGGGTAGGTGGATGAGTGGGTGGGTTGACGGGTTGGGTTATCGGGCGAATGAGTGGGTGGGTTGTCTGTCTGGATAAGGGAAATGGGTGGGTTGTCGGGTAGGTGGATGAGTGGGTGGGTTGATGAGTGAGTGAGGGATGGGTGGGTTGGGTTATCGGGCGAATGAGTGATTGAGTGGGTGGGTTGTCGGGTGGATAAGTGGGGAATGGGTGGGTTGTCGGGTAGGTGGATGAGTGGGTGGTTTGACGGTTATCGGGTGAATGAGTGAGGGATTGGTGGGGAATGGGTGGGTTATCGGGTAGGTGATTGAGTTTGTGGGTTGGTGTGAGTGAGGGATTGGTAGGTTGGGTTATCGGGCGATTAAGTTGGTGGGTTGTCGGGTCGGGTAGGTGGATGTGTGGGTGGGTTGTCGCATTGGCGAATGGATTTTCGGTAGGTTGGCTAGTGAGTGAGTGGCTGGGTGAATGGTTGAGAATTAAGAAACCAAATACGGAATCGTTTGTGATACAGGGCTATGATTACGAATGGCACACTAAGAACACTACATTCCATTTCCTTACATGTTTATGACTTTCTATTTTACGAACATAACATATTGAAAATTTGGTAACATATTGAAAATTTCATGAAATGTATAAATACATATCTGAACATCAGTGTGATATTGTATCATTCAATCGCAACAAGTCTATTTTATTTGCACAAAACTAAATGTATCCGAATTATCCAAAAGAATAGATTTCAAACTCATTATTGAAACTGCTCGATCAATATGTTCTCTGAGAACCTTGATCAATACTTACTTCCTACCTTTCAAGTCAATGAAACTAGATACAGCAGCTCGATTACAAGTAAATGACAAATGTGGCCCCTTTTATGTCACATCCGTAAGTCGTGAGGTGTTTGCCATGATCATATCAAAATTTTATTCATAAAAATCAAATCGTGATGTTGACCATGCTCAGTTGTCTTTGTCATCCAGCACGTGGCAGTTTACATACACGGAACAGCAGGAAAACCCGTAAGTGTTTCAAGACGACTTTTATCTGTTTTAGTGACCGACCACCTGATAGTGTGGGGCTGGGGCTGGGCGTGGGGGGTGGTGCTCATAGGCCTGGTATACACGTACTGTGGGAACAAGCTTGGGAACACAGAAAAGTACAAGTGTTCCCTTAGTCATTTCCATCTTTCTTCGCATGCACTGTGGGCGAAAACCTGGGAATAATGAATTAAACCCTTGTGTTCATCAGTTGCTGTATATATAAGTCACAAACAAAACATATCTGGTTTTGCAGAGCTAGATATTTCACTCGGTTATGAAATATACACTGGATCCTGCCACAGCTTGCGCTGACCAACCACGTGAATGGTCATTTAGAATGAGGGATGTGGTTCTGTGCAACATTTTTACCTTCCACATTTTATGTCCTCTATCATTCCATGATTCCTTTCAGCCCTGCATGTAACCGTTTGTTTTCATGACTAGGCCTCATTGTAATAAACAGACCTCCCAAAACTTCCTGAATCAATCTTTTGGATATTATAGCATCAAGGTTGATAAGTACATCCCTAATCGACTGAGATGCTACAGGTGGCAGTGTTGAGGTTGTGTCTCGAGAGCATGTGATAAGCAGGTTTCTTGTCATCCTTGTGGTGTGAATTGTACAGTGAGTGAGTGGGTTTAGTTTTACGCCGCACTCAGCAATATTCCAGCTATATGGCGGCGGTCTGTAAATAATCGAGTCTGGACCAGACATACCAGTGATCAACAGCATAAGCATCGATCTGCGCTATTGGGAACCGATGACATGTGTCAACCAAGCCAGTGAACCTGAACACCCGATCCCGTTAATCGCCTCGTACGACAAGCATGGGTTACTGAAGGTTCATTCTAACCCGGATCTTCACGGGAGACAAGCATGGGTTACTGAAGGTTCATTCTACCCCGGATCTTCACGGGAGACAAGCATGGGTTACTGAAGGTTCATTCTAACCCGGATCTTCACGGGAGACAAGCATGGGTTAGTGAAGGTTCATTCTAACCCGGACCTTGACGGGTCGGGAACTGTACAGACAGTGATGAGTCAGAAATGGCTCCTTGTTGTGTGAATTGTGGTGGTAACCATGTTTCATCTTCCAAAGACTGTCCTACTTGGAAAGGCGAATCTAAAATCGTAAAACTAAAACATGAACGAAACATCTCATATATAGCTCTCAGATCTTGCTCTGCAGGTGTTTCACGACCACTTCTACGACCTGTTCTCCAACCTGTGTCCTGTATAACGGTTTTACCTGGACCACAATCGATTCACCTGTAATTTCACCATCTGCTGATTCGGCAACTGCATTAGAAACCACAAGCTCGCAGCTACTCCAAAACCAGCTAAAAGGAAAAATCTAAAAAAAAAATCAGATCAGGTCATCTCACTAAGGGTCCTAAAGATCCTATTTCTAGGTTAAAAAAGGTCTGGTGTATTTGAGGACATGGAGGTGTCTACTCCACAAGACCACGCTCCAGGAGCCATTCGCCAAGGAAGGAACGGTTATTGCTCCATGGTGGCCAATACCGCAACCTTACAATGGAATTGTCGAAATAATTTTGATGAAGTGAAACTTTCATCACAGGAATTTAATCACCTCGCTTTAGTCTTCAGAAAACTATACCTAACTTCCGTCAGTATAACATGTTTAATTCACACGCACAATATACTAAAAGCACAGGTGCCAGCATTCTATGATAGCAAGTGACGATAGATAAGGCTGTCGCTCTAAATACCAATCAGTGGGTGCAGTAGGCAAATCTTTACACATTACTATCACAATGCGTTTTCTTTATAATCCACTATCAACTGCACCTCAGAAAAGGATTAAGATGATCTTATCACTCAATATCCTTAGTCGTTCTTGCGCATGGCAGATCTTTATGGTCACAACACATATTGTGTGCAGTTGATCAAAATCACAAAGGCAAAGTTCCGGATGATCTGCATCATAGACATAATCTGTGTCTAATTAATGCTGGTGAGTGAGTGAGCGAGTGAGTTGGGTTTTACGCCGCTTTTAGCAATATTCCAGCAATATCGCGGCGGGGACACCAGAAATGGGCTTCACGCAATGTACCCATGTATTGAATCGACCCGGGTCTTCGGCGTGACGTGCGAGCGCTTTAACCATTTGGCTACCCAGCCTCACCATTTAATGGTACCAACATGTATTGGCACCCAGCAAATGGTACGTTCTCTGCTCTGGATTTATCCATTGCTGATCCATTACTTGATGAGTTCTCTTGGTCTGTGACCGCCTCCGTGGTGTAGTGGTTAGAGCGTCCGCCCGGAGAGCGGAAGGTCGCGGGTTGATCCCCGACCGCGTCAAACCAAAAGACAAATGGTACGTCCCCTCTGCTCTGGATTTATCCATTGCTGATCCATTACTTGATGGGTTCTCATGGTCGGTGCACGATGACTTAAGTTGTGGTACAACAGCCGGTACAACATACACACGCATGCACCATCATATGAGCGAAATATTCACAAGCACGAAAGTGTCACCCATGGCTGTGCACGAGGACACCCTACCCATTGATGCAAATGATAAAGCTGACAAAGGTTGACAGGCAGATCTTTAATACAGTGTCATGATGAATTATTCTTTTGACAGTTCTATTTATGATATTGACCAGATCAGATCATATTCGGATAAATTAGTAAAAACTGCCACTTAAACTATCCAAACAGCAAACCTGTCAACGAAGGACAGTAAAACCAACTAGAATATCACAGTATCAAGAAATAAAATTAGCATCTCTCTCTAAAATTGGATTTCAAATTAGGACAAGACAGTATAAATGGGCTATAGATCACCAACAACTGAAGGTAGATCACCATATTAGGGACCATGACGACTTACAGTGCCTTTGCTACCTGCATGGACCCTAGTTGGATTTACGCCATCCCTTCGGCCGCGGGCGATTGTAGGAAACATTTAGCCGAAGTTTAAAAGAACAAAAATACTACGTTTAAAAATCTAATAAGCTTAAATTTAGCTTTGAAAGTTTGGGACTTACGTACCCTCTCAGGAGGACAATAATTTTACGATACTTTAACCCCCTTTGAGGATACAGCCCCTAACAATTGCAGTTGCTAATTTATACTACCATGTTTGAAATACCATTTATCTATTTTTACAACATTTTATTCAAAATTTATCTAATAATTCTATTTCCTTTAAAATTCAATTATTAAATGATAATCAACATTATTTAAAACCCCTAATTGTTTTGGCACTGAAATATTTATCTCTTGTGATGGAAAAAACAACAGTCAAGCAGGACGTGCTAGACCGTGATTCTTTCATCACAAGGGATACAACGGAGGATCTTCACCTTTTAACAGGTATTCCTGAGTATATCTAGTATGGCCAAAACGACATCGTCGCTTAATGACCTCTTCAAATCTGGACTGACAACCAAAGTAGGTGTAACTAATAAACGGTTTTATTTCATGTAGTTTAGTTATAGCTACTTGAGTGTCCCACTTCTGCATCAGATCACGGATGTACGATCTAATGGTTGCTTTGTAATCGGAGTATGGAATAAGAAGAGGCGTCACAGATTTGTTGAGTGCTGCCTTAGCAGCCGAATCGGCCACTGTGTTACCAAAGATTCCAACATGGCTGGGTAACCAACAGAGGACGGTGTCGTATTGGCCAGTAGCAACCTCATTATATAATTCAATTATATCGATTAATAATTGATGTTTGCAGAGAGATTTTTATAGCCTGAAGACAAGAAAGAGAGTCTGAAAATATTATATATTGCTCATATTTAGGATGTTTTTTAATATATTTAAACGCTTTTATATAGCATTGGTTTCTGCTGTGAAAATCAGAGATCGTTCTGGGTCCAACC